GTTTTTATTGTGATTGGGGTGAAAGTTTACAGAGAAAATTCATTTTCCATACAGCAGCTCACATACACTGTCTCATGACATTGACTACAATTTACCACAATGCAACAGCTCCCACTTCCTCTCCATAGTTACTGCTTCCCTGTGTCCTTCCCTCCCATGCACTCCTGCACCCTGAGCTGCCTCCCTGTGCATACACAGCTCTTCTATTCTTCCTATTGATCTCTCCAAGGAGTGCATCTACCTAATATAAATGTTCAGCTCATATGCCTATCTTTTGTTTGTCTGGAAGCCATAGGAGTGGGTCCAATTCCAGACCTGAAGGGCAGCTAGGGGCCATAGTCTCAGAGGTTCTATCAGACCAGCAAACCTGATCTTTTCTTTTTAATGATTTTGAGTTTTGTTCCATGCTATTCTCCCACTATATCCAGGATCTCCTACATAGATCCCCTACCAAGTCATTGACAGTGGTAGCTGGGCACCATCTAGTTCTTCTGATCTCATAGTCATATAAGCTGAGGATCACATGGTGTACTTGGACTAATTGTTTCCATGTGCTTTTGGTTTTCTTCATTCTTCTTTGCTCTGGATGAGGAGACACCCATCATTGCATCTAGATGGCCGCTTGCAAGCCATCCTACTCGTCAAAGTAGGATGGGCAACAATATTTTTGTTTAGTATGTTATATCAGTTGAGCTGGATGTCCCCTGTGACTATGGTCCTGAGCCCACAGGTCCAACTACTCACTCCCTCTGTGTAGCTGGTTTTGGCCAAGAAATTACAAACTTGCCCCTTGTCAGCTCTACTCTATACCTGGGAATTCTTACATACAAATACACTTGTAGAAACATTGTCTTCCAACCCTATACATGGTCATGTGGACACTCCCCCCTGCACAGACATACGTTATGTAATAGGTCAGCACGTGCACCCATCTATCCACCTGTAGAGATCAATGTTTGCCTTCACTGACAACAGTAGTGTATATGCAAAAGGGTTCATCTTTGTTATCTGTACTTCCCATGCACCTCTGTCTTCCTCTTCCTCAATGCCACTGTGTTAATCACTCCCATTTGTGAGGATTTTTGTTTTCTTTATGTTGAGGTGTAATCCATACTGAAGACAGTAGTGCCAGGTATCACTCCTTAAAACTCTTGTTATTGGGAAATATTTCTATTTCGCAGCCGAGGAATCTGAAGTTCAAGATACTTTGATCAAAGTACAGACTACAGTTTATTAGTGCAAACCAGAGGCAGGAATGTGTAGGCAAGGGAGTTAGTGCTTATGGAGCACTGAATTTGCTTATGGTGCCAGAAAATTCATGTTGATTAAGGGTAATGATTGCACAGCTGATTCATACATTCGATGTCACTAAGTTGTATATCGGTAAAAAGTTGAATTGACAAATGTGTGATACATACTTTTATAAGAACAACACACAAAAAAGATAGTTGCTGAGGTACAGCCGAACACCTCATGAAATGTGGTTTCTTGGAGGTTTAGGGTTGTGGTTTCTCCCGACATGCAGTTAATTGGCTTAATTATCATTTGTAGTGCATCGTTAGTATCTACATCCTAGTTTGCTGCCTAGAGCCTTAAAAGTTTGCAAGTGGCCAAAGTAAAACAATTGGCCTCTATTTGCCTGGAGGAACAGAGAAAAAGGAAAGTTAGCAACAGGAGAAAATGGAATGTGTAGCTAATTGCCTCTATGAACAACTACCTACTGTGCCATGAGTCCAGAAGAACTGGATGGTGCCAGATTACCATCACTGAACTTTTACCAGAGTCCATAGGGGAATTCTCATTAAAAGGGGGAGAAAATGCAAGTAGAATTTCAAATTCACATAGAATCCAGACTTCATAGAGCCACTAAGAGGATGAACGAACCTCTGAAACTACTGCCCTGAGATCATTTTTTAAAACCAAAAATATGGCCTGAAGTCTTCTTTAAACCAAAGAATGTTGTTGTTGTTATGTGCCACTGAGTTGGACCCGACTCATAGCGACCCCTCCTTGGGTTTAGTTTAGCTTAATTAGTCAAGAATTTCTGTCTTGAGCATTGTGCTCTTTGTTTTTTATAAACCAAACTCACTGCCACTGAGTCGATTCTGACTCATAGAGACCCCATTTGGGTTTCCAAGGTGGTAGATCTTTACGGAAGTAGATTGCCCAGTCTTCCTTCTGCAGAGTAGCTGGTGAGTTTGAACTACCAACCTTCTGGTTAGCAGTCAAGTGCTTTAGGCACACCACCACCACAAAAGCAACTGGAAATAACCTTAGGAAGTTTAGAGGGCAGTAAGTTTATGTCAATGGTAAAGAACAATTCAGCAAAGGAAAGAATGGTTGTACAACTTGAAGAAGGAAATCAATGTTACTGAATTGCACACATAGAAACTGTTGAATTGGTATTATCTTTTGCTGTGCATACTTTCAACAATAAAAAAAAAAATTACATCTAAAAAAAAAAAAAAGATGGTTTTGCCCTAGATCATATAACTAAGTAACAGTGGTATCAGGCTCTCTGTGACCACAAAATCCAGCTGATTCCAGGTGACCCACAGGATCATAGTGCATGGGTGAAAAAAACCTTACAATTGCTCTATGCCAGGGGCCACTGTCATCCAGAGCAGAACCAGACCATGAAGGGTGGTTTCTGAGACATGGAAACAGATGAGTATGTTCACTCCCTCTTGAAGAATTCTCTCTCTCCTTAATCATCTCCAAAATGTTTCTTCAACCTACCCACTTTTCCTTTCCTTACAACTACCTAACCCAACATGCCAACAATCCTTCCATACCTATTGTCTTCTTCAGGGATTGTGAAAGCCTGACAAGAGCAATTGAAGGAGCATAAACAGCAGCTATTATTCATTTATTCCTGAGGTTTCTTTTCTTTTAAACCAAATTCATTTTTCATCTGACATCCAAGAAAATAAAAGCAAAATTTAATACTAGACACACATTTGGAAGTAAATTTCTATAAACTAATATTTCCTTTTACACATCAGAGGAAAATACACTTCTACTTTTAAAATGTTCTTTAAAGTTCAAAGATAAAAATGTAATGCTATATTCCCAGACTGTTGTTGCAACAGTATGGGAGGACACCCACTGATGATGGTATTCCAAGCTGACCATAGTCATAGGGGTGTGTGTATACTCTGTTGATCCTCAATTTACTGAATTCCCATAGGAATACTGAAAAAAAAAAAAATCCACCTTTTAATGGGGCTAAAGCTTTGGGGTGAGTTGGAATGGATCCTGGAACAGGATATTTACGTATTTTAAAAAAATACTAGTGTAAAAAGAGGTGAAATCCACATAAAGTATGAAGACTAATAAACAGCACTGTACAAATATTAATTTTTTAGTTTTGACAAAGGTACCATGTTACATAAAATGTTAACATTCAGGCAAGTTGGGTGAAGGATATACAGTACTTTGTACTATCTCTGTAATTGTCCTATAAATATAAAATTATTAAAAGAAAATAAAAGGCAGGGAAAGGAAGAGTATTTTATGTACATATGTGCATAGGGACATACGGTAGTGATGGTCTAATAACAACAACAGAGGGAATATAAAGGAGTCATTTCAAAATTAAGCAAGGGAGCAGAGAGGAAATAATGAGTGGACAGGGGAGGGAGGGGGCTTCCCTGCATTGGAAATATTCTACTTCCTAAATCTAGATGGGAGCTCTGGGAGCATAGTGGCTAAGGCACTTGACTGCTAACCAGAAGGCTGGCGGTTCAAACCCACCAGCCACTCCTCGGAAGGAAGGTTGGGCATTCCTACTTCCGTAGTGATACCGCCTCGGAAACCCAAGGAGGGGTCGCTATGAGTCGGGGCCGACTCGATGGCAAACAACAACAGCAACAATCTAGATGGGTGACTGGACAGGTGTGCTCATTTTATGATAATGCACTGAACACATTACTCTTACACATTATTACACATTATTCTTCTACACATCACCCTAAAGTTTTTTTTAAAAAAAACCACTTCTCCATTACATGTAAAGCTTAGACTAGAGACTTATAAATAAATAAGGTGTATATGTAGGAAAGAAGAAAACCTGTTCATGGCTAAACAAAACAGTTATTAAATCATCAGTCTCAATTTTTCAGAGCTGGGAGAGAATTTGGGAAATATCAAATGCAGGAGTGGACAGAGTTCTTTCTTTTTTTAAGGAGTGGACACAGTTCTTTATGGAGGTACCCCTGGAGATACAGATGCAGTGGGTCTAGGCAGGGGCTGTTGTTGTTGTTGTTATGTGCCATTGAGTTGGACCCGACTCATAGCGACCCCTCCTTGGGTTTCCCAGGCAGTATCAGTACGGAAGTAGATTGCCCAACCTTCCTTCCGAGGAGTGGCTAGATATCTAAATTTTAGAAAAGTGCCTCTGGTGAGTTTGATGAACAGACATGTTATGACCCACTGAACGACCTCAGGGAGGTTAAATGACTTTGCAAAAAGGCCCCTAAATGGCACAAGAACCTTATTACTAGTCTCCTCACTGTATTCCACTTACAGGTGAAAGCTTCCACAGCCCAGACTGTTAAAACAAAATATTATAATTCCAATACAGAGAATATCACTAAATTATGTCACTTTGCCTTAGTAAGCTTATCAAAGATTTTTTTTCCTATCATGATGGCTTTTTAAAACTGTAATAACACTTCAATTTCTGACATATTTTAATTTCATATTACTAATAGCATTAATGCATTTGTTATTTATTAAATAATATTCATTGTAAGAAAAAGAAGGAGATATCGGTGATGTGTCAAGAGTTTCTAGAATTCAGGTCCTTTTCCAGGTCAACAAGGTACATGAGCTTTCTTCCCTGTGGCTACTGCCTCACTGGATGAACTAATATATAATACATGATATCATTAGTTTATGATTTTGTTTCCTTCATGTGTGATCCAGTTCATTATGATTTCTATGAAAGTTTCTGTTTAGAATAATTTGTTTCTCAGCGACATTATAATGGCAACAACAAGAATGTCAATGAATATTTAAAGTGAATCAAGGTACTTCTGTTTTTCGGGTAGATAAATCATAGAAAATTAAAGGGGAATTCAGGAAAATTTCTTAAGAAATAACAATTTTAGGTAGGCAATCGTGAGGAAAATAATAATCATGCAAGCCAAAGCCAGATGGTTCTGCCATAGGCCCCAAGGTGAGAGATCGATGCCTTGGTTTATCAAAAATTCTTCGCCAGTACATCTGAAATTCAACAAAAAAAGGAATACAATTTAACTCCTGGCAGCTGCCAAATATTACTCAATACATTCACTGTTCCTTAGTTGAATAAGTCTACAGATTAACTAACACTGTAATAATTATCCCACTATTTATAATAGCTAACAGTCATTAGAGCTTGCAATTTCACTAGATACTACGCTGAGCAATATGGATATATAGCGTAGTTAATCCCTAAAACAAGCTAATGGGGGTAGATATATACACTAAAATTAATGGAACTTGCCCAAGTCCACAGAGTCATACTTCAAACCAAGTTTCTGGCCTTCTCAAATTCATTTGCTTCCAAATTTAAAATATTGCTTCTCTTTAAAGAGCAGAAATATTTATACAGTAATTTTTCATTTACCCTCTGATGCATGAAACTTCAGCTTTAACTTATGGCATCTATGGCCTTTACTGAAATAATTAAAGCACTTTATAGATAAGTTACCCACACATACACACAAAAAAAATAGCCACATACAAGAACACAGGCTTAGAATTCTAAATCTTGGAAAAGAGGTGGACAAGTGCTTCCTTGCCAGGGTTGCCCTCTGTCAACTACAAAAAGTATCACAGATACTCAACTACAAGTCATTATAAGCAGTCCTAGCTATCAGGCTTAAAACTTACGCAGCAATTGGCACAGAGCAGGATGGTGTGGCCCTGCCATAGGTAAGAAAACTACCTGGTACGGCCACAATTATTGTCTGGTATGATTTCTGTGTGACTCTGAGAATTTAGCAGTTCCAAAACCAGCCATTGCCTCTATTTACTGAAGGAATGCCTTCCTCCTTTATGAGTTGAATCCAACTCATAGCAACCCCTCCTTGGGTTTCCAAGGTGGTATCATTACGGGAGTAGATTGCCCAATCTTCCTTCCGAGGAATGCTGGTGGGTTTGAACCGCCAGCCTTCTGGTTAGTAGTCAAATGCCTTAGTCACCTTAGGCCACCAGAGCTCCTTACGAGAATGAAGCCTCATTTTAAGTCACCATGCAGCCTATGGTGGCTTCTCCTCATCCGGACCTACTTTTCCCATCCCCTTCATCCTGTCCAGCTAGTTGGCAATGCCTATGTTACAAAGGTGTCACAGCCAGATCAAAAAAAATGGGTTGAATAAAATAGAACTTTTCTTTATAGAGGTTTTTCCAGCAATATTTCAAAATAGCAATTTGCCCAATATTACTAAGAATTATTTCTATTCTCATGAAAGATACAGGATACCAACATTTTTTCTCCAATTAATTAATATAATCAACATCAAGTCATTAATAACAATTGTAGAAAAAGAAGATTCTATTCAATTGTTAAAACAGTATGCTCTAATTTTATTAAAACATGCATTTCTGTTTTAATGACATTAAACAAAAATAAGATTACCTTCTCAGTTTACTAAAATATGTGTTTGTTTGCTTAGAGAACACATAGGGAGTATACCAAATCAGTCAGAATCTATGAGTATATGACTTATATATGTATAGATTCATATATGTATAGATTATGACTCATATGTGCACACACACACACACACACACACACATATATATATACACACACACACACACGAGTCAGAATCTATGAGTCAGAATCGACTAGATGGCAGATTTAAATCTATATAAGGAGCCTTGGTGGCACCACTACTTGTCTGTCAGTTTGTCGTACTGTGGTAGCTTGTGTGTTGCTGTGAGGCTTGATGGTATGCCACCAGTATTTCAAATATCAGCAGGGTCACCTATGGTGGCCAGGTTTCAGCAGAGCTTCCAGACAAAGAAAGACTCAGAAGAAGGAAGGGGCCATCCACTTCTCAAAGAATTGGTCAGTGGTGGCACTGTGATAAGCACTTGGCTGTTGATCAAAAAGTTGGCAGTTCAAACTCACCAGCTGCTACAAGGGAGAAAGATGTGGCAGTCTGTTTCCGGAAAGATTACAGCCTTGGAAACTCTATGGGCCAGTTCTAGTCGTTTTATAGGGTTGCCATGAGTTGGGATCAACTCGATGGCAATGGGTTTGGTTTGGTTTTATACCTGCATCTTATAAAACTAAGCTCTATTAGTGTAACTATATGTCAAGCTTAAATGCTCTGAGAAATAAAAACTCAAACTAGAAAACAAATAAGCAATACATAACAAACATTTCCTCTGCTTAAATATAATTTTCACTGTATGCAAATACCTAATAGTTAATTGTACAGTGCCTTCACATGTATTAGGGCATGGCTGAGTTTAGGATGAGTAAAAACCTGGGCTATGAGAAGTTCTGTGACCCTGACAGGACTCAGATCAGCTCTGAGTGCAGTGTCTTTTCTAGGTCAAGCTACAATAGTAAGCACACCCATGGTAACATTTAAGGCACACTTACATTGCATAGCCACTGCAGGTATTGTTTGTTGTTGTGTTTAAACCTGGGCAGAAGTGTTGTCCCAAAAATTCATTATGTTCTAAAGCCTATAACAAAATGGGTAGAGAGAGGGGAAAGAAATAGTTCTAAATTTCAAAAAGTTTCCAAATAAATATCACTCATGTCCTCTTAGTTTAATCTTTACTGATATTCCCATACACTGAGTTTTACATTCACACACTTTGTCATGCAAAAGCAACTAAAATTATTTTTTTTGCCAATCACAGTATTGATTGGGTAAGCAGGGAAACGTCTGGCTATATTACTCCAAGCTCTTTTGTTCTTCTCTCCTCAATGTTATAATCCTATGAACATGATAATTTAAAAACACACTGGTGCTCCATAGGTATTGTTGTTTTATGGTAATAATCTTTTGTATTGTTTATATTTGCTTTTCTTCAAAACTAGATGTAATTCTTGTGAGTTGGAAACTCAGTTATATTATATTAAAACACAGAACAGTTTTCTAAAGCCAATGGTGGTTATGGGTATTTGATGGTCTTACTATATTTTCTTCTAATATTTCTTTAATATAAAATCATTTTTCTAGTATCACATTCTCTCATTTGTTTCCTGTTTCACTGAGACTCAACAAAACTTTTTTCAACAACCTTAGTTATCCTTCTTCTCCACCATCAGTTATTTCTCCATTCTTCACCTTCATCAAACAACATGGTGACTGGGGAATACTACAAGTGATTAACAAGGTGATCTCCTGGCCTTGGGCTAAATCAACCCCAATAGGAAATTCTCATTCATTGCTCCTAAAAAGGAAATTTCTAGAGGGGAGACTTTCATAGTTCATGGTCAGGGACATGAGACAGACTTAATTCTGGCTGTTCCTTACTTAAAAACAATAACCTGGTCACAATGTCTAGACACAGAATCACTTACCGTAAAACCATATCGAGGAATGCTGAAATACTGAAGCCATGAGAGCCAAGGCACAATCGTTGTGAGATTTACCAACAGCCCTGAGAACATCTACAAAAAGAAAACACCAAGAGTCAGAACTGATCAAGCAAATTCGTGAAGCACTGGCTTAACAGTCAGTTCTCTAGAGAATGCCTTCTCCCAAGTCCCCTACAATCTTTCAAACATTTCTGCTTAAAGTCAACTATTTCTTGAAATTCTTTCCACTTATTCTAAACAGTTATCATACTCTCCTTTCCATATATGACTTCTATAGATTTGAGGCTATTCATGGTTTTAAGAAAGTGATTCTACATCTACAATAAATATTTTCTATATTTATGTTGTTACTGTCAGGTGCCATCGAATCAGTTCTGACTCACAGCAACCCTATGTACAACAGAATGCAACACTGCCTGTTCGTGTACCATCCTCACAATTCTTGCAGGCACTGTGCCAATCCATCTCACTGAGGGTCTTTCTCTTCTTCACTGACCCTCTATTTTACTTCATATTGTTCAGCATGATGTCCTTCTCCAGGGACTGGTCCCTTTGGATAACATGTCTAAAGTGTGTGAGATGAAAAATCTTGCCACCTCACTTCTAAGCAGCATTCTGGTTGTACATCTTCCAAGAGAGATTTGCTTATTCTTCTGGCCGTATATTCAATATCCTTCACCAATGTCATATTCAAATGCATCAATTCTTCTTCAGTCTTCCTTATTCATTGTTCAGCTTTCACATGTATATGAGGCAAATGAAAATACTCTGTCTTGCACTATGGATCAAATGTGAATGGATCAGAATGAAGAAAATCAAAGATGCATGGAAACAGTTAGTCTAAATGGATGATATGAACCCCAGCCTCCATGACCCTGAGACCAGAAGAACTAGATGGTGTCTGGCTACCCTACTGACAGTTCTGAAAGGGATTGCAATAGGAGGTCCTGGATAAAGTGGGAGAAAAATGTAGAACAAAACTCATAATCGTGAAAGAGACCAGCCTTATTGGTTTGATGGAGACTGGTGGAACCTACAAGACTATGACCCATAGACACTCTTGAAGCCTGGAACTGAACTTGGCCCCCATGACTCAACTTTCAACCAAATGATAGACACACCTATAAAGTGAACAATATTAACAGGGAGATACAGACTCATTAGAACAAGGGCAGCATTTGCCCAGGAATAAAGCTAAAAAAGGAGGAATGGATAGGAAAGAAGGATGAAAGGAAATGGTAAACATAAGAAGGAAGTGGGAAGAGTGCTGTTATATTGTGGGGATTGCAATGAATGTCACAAAACAAAATGTGTATGAATTATTGAATGAAAATATCAATTTGCTCTCTAAAATTTTACCCAAATCAAAATAAAAAATTTTTTTGTTAATGAAAAGAGAAATAAAGGTGAGGATAACAAAAGTACAATGAAGGAAATTTAAGGAGTTGCTTACGATGGAGAATCACAACAGCTAATATATATGAATGTGTATTACATGTCAAAAGCTTTACCTGGGCCAATAAAAGTACTAAAGTGAAAAAAGAAAGAAAATATGGTTTGTATCAGGCACACCTTAGTCCTACAAGTGACATCTTTGCTTTCGAATACTTTAAGGGAGTCTTTCGCAGCAGATTTGCCCAATGCAATATGTAATTTGATTTCTTGGACTACTGCTTCCATAGGCATTGATTTGTGGATCCAAGTAAAATGAAATCCTTGACAACTTTTATCTTTTCTCCATTTATCATGATACTGCTTATTGTAAGGAAGTTTGTTTTCTTATCTTCAACAGTAAGTGCATCAAGTCATCTTCACTTTCAGGAAGCAAAACTGTATCATCTGTATATTGCAGGTTGTTAGAGTCTTCTTCCAATGCTGATGCCATGTTCTTCTTCGTATTATTTAGCCTCTCAGATTACTTATTTGGCATGAAGATTAAGTAAGTATTGTAAAAGGATACAACCCTGACACACATCTTTCCTAATTTTAAACCACTGAGTATCCGCTTGTTCTGTTTCATCGACTGCCTCTTGGTTTTTGTATAGGTCCCACATGAGCACAATTAAGTGCTCTAGAATTCCCATTCTTCCCAATATTATCCATAATTCTTTAGGATCCATATAGTCAAATGTCTTTGCATAATCAATAAAATACAGGTAAATATATTTCTGGTATACTCTACTTTCAGCCAAGATTCATCTGACATCAGCCCTGATTTCCCTTGTCCCACACATCCTCTTCTGAATCTGGCTTGTATTTCTGACAGTTCCTTGCTGATGTACTGCTGCAACCAGTTTTGAATTATCTTCAGCAAAATTTTATTGTGTGTGCTATTAATGATTGATATTTCTCTATTTTATTGGATTGCCTTTCTTTGGAATGGGCATAAATATGGATCTCTTCCAGTTGATTGGCCATGGAGCTGTCTTCTAAGTTTCTTGGAATAGATAAGTGAGAGCGTTTATGTTGCATCTGTTTGTTGAAATATCTTGATTTGTATTCCATCAATTCCTGGAGCCAAGTTTTTCAATAATGCCTTCAGTGCAACTTGGACTTCTTCCTTCAATACCATTGGTTATTGACCATATGCTACCTCCTGAAATGGCTGAACATCAACCAATTACACGTCACTCTGTGTGTTCCTTCCATCTTCTTTTGATGCTTCCTATGTCATTTGATATTTTGCCCATGGAATCCTTCAATATTGCAGCTCAGGGCTTCAATTTTTTCTTCAGTTATTTCAGCTTGAGAGATGCCAAGTGTGTTCTTTGCTTTCGGTTTTCCAACTCTAGGTCACTGCACACTTCATTATAATACTGTACTTTGTCTTCTCAAGCCACTCTTTGAAATCTTCTGTGCAGCACTTTTACTTCATCATTTCTTTCATTTGCCTTAGACACTCTACTTTCTAGAGTAAATTTCAGAATTTCTTCTGGCATCCATTTTCCTCTTTTTTCTTTCCTTTCTTTTTAATGACTTTTTGCTTTCTTCATGTATGATGTCCTTGATGTCATCCCACAACTTGTCTGGTCGTTGGTGACTAGTGTTCAATGTGTCAAATCTATTCTTGGGATGGTCTCTAAATTCAGTTGGGTTTACTCAAGGTTGTAATTTGGCTCTAGTGAACTTGTTTCGACTTTCTTCAGCTTCAACTTAAATTTGCATATAAGCAATCAATGATCTGTTTCTTAGTTGGTCCCTGGCCTTGTTTGTGACTCGTGATATTGAACTTCTTCAACATCCCTTTCCACACATGTATTCTATTTGATTCCTGTATATTCCATCTGTCCATATGTATAGTCACACCATTATGTGTTTATGTTGTTGAAAAAAGACTGTTCTGTTGTCTGAAATTCAACAAACATGTATATAATCAAGATGTATTGATATTTACTGGTGATTGGAATGTGAAAGTTGGAAACAAAAAAAGGATCAGTAGTTGGAAAATATGGCCTTGGTTATAGAAACAACTCCAGAGATTGCATGACAGAATTTTGTAAGACCAATGACCAATTCACTGGATATACCTTTTCTCAACAATAAATAAAACCTAGGGGGGAAGGGTTGTACTAATTATGTATCATATAAAGACATCCACTCCTACTCCTACTCTAGCAGAAAGGGCAGGGTAAGTATTCTTGTTCATTTGATATAGTAGGAGAAAAATATAGTAACTGGTTCCCTTTACCAGTTGATCCATCTATATGAGCACAAAGTTTAGGGGCATGTAAACATAAAGAAAACAAAAATCCTCACAACTGGACCAATGAGCAGCATCACAATAAATGGAGAGAAGATTGAGGTTGTCAAGGAATTCACGTTGCTTGGTTCTACAATCGATGCCAACGGAAGCAGCAGTCAGGACATTAGACGACGTGTAGCATTGGGAAAGTCAACTGCGAAGGAACTGTTTCAAGTGCTGAGGAGCAAGGATATCTCATTGAGGACTAAAGTGCGCCTGACACAAGCCATGATATTTCCAATCACCTGGTATGCATGTGAGAGCTGGACAATGAATAAGGAAGACCGAAGAAGAGTTGATGCTTTTGAGTTGTGGTGCTGGCGAAGAATGCTGAAAGTACCGTGGACTGCTAAAAGAACTAACAGATCTGTCCTGGAGGAAGTGCAGCCAGAATGCTCCTTGGAAGCAAGAATGGCCAGACTTCGTCTCACCTATTTTGGTCATGTTGTAAGAAGGGACCATTCCCTGGAGAAGGATGTCATGCTTGGTAGGGTGGAGGGTCGATGAAAGAGTGGGAGGCCTTCAAGGAGATGGATTGATATGGTGGCTGCGATGATGGGCTCAAGTATAGCAGGGATTGTGGGGCTGGCGCGGGATCGGGCAGTGTTTCGTTCTGCTGTGCATGGGGTCGCTATGAGTCAGAAACGACTCGACAGCACTTAACAACAACAAAAAAAAGATTATAGCCAAGAAAACTCTATGGGGAAGAAGTTCCATTGTTACATGGGGTTATGATGAATCAGAATCTACTGGTGCCATCAATAGCAACAGGATTAAAATTAAAAATTAAAAAAAAAAAGATTAGCACAAATATCTTGATATGTCAGGAATCCAGATGTTTCAGGATATGTCTTGATACCTCAGGAACTCAGAAAGTATTCAAAGTACTCTGTGGATCCGAGACTACCTATGCTGCACACTGTTCTATTTTTCATGCAGCTTAGCTTTTGCCTTGGAGAGTAGCAGATACAAGCATACCACCAACAATTCTCTAACACCAGCACAAAAGTTAGATGATTGAGCTGTCATTTTTATGAGGCAATCGGCCAATCAAAACTTTTCTGGTTTTTGAACTTAGAATTTATGAATATTTCACTACATGTCTCTGCTACAGTTCAGTATGTAGCCTCCTTAAAACATGAGAGTCCCATTTGCAGAATCCTCAAAGCAAGTTTTACATTACAGGTAAATTTTGGGGAAGGAAGAAATTACTTCTCAAAGAACCTGGATCCTACTTACCATCATGAACACAAAACAGATGGTCATGAGAAGAGTTGCTATGGATACCACACTCTGACCAGCTGCTATGGCCAACCCCATGGAACTGGCTGAATAAGCCACCATCATAAGGGTAAACATCATGATGAAGAAGGCCTCCACCGTTGGTTTCAATCCTTAGTAAGGAAGAAAAGAGGAGGTTGATCAAACTGCCTGGGTCACCATGTTGTTGGCATTATTTATTGTACAAATAACACTACAATATTTTGAAAAACTAATAACAGAATGAAAAAAAAATCATCAACTAATCCAATTCCTCTGGATTACCAATTCTACTGTTTTTGTCCATACATATGACTTTTACAAAACAATCATACAGGGGTTTTTTTGTACTTATTTTGTAAGTGTTTTCCCATGTGCACCTATACTCTTTTATGGGTAATCACTACCAATTTTCTGAGCTCCTGAAATGATGAGCTACAGGCAACACAACTTGTCAGATTCTACTGACTTCTTTCCTCACAGGAAACTTACCAACAGTATATTTATTTTACCCAGATATTACCACAGGCTGTAAATGCATTAGTAAAGAAATGGGGACAACCCAAATACATGACCTCGCAGTGGTTTTAGTATCTGGTGGAGGGGAGATTTTATAGACCAGGTCTCCCTAGAGAAATCACATGGTAGCTCTGGACTTGAAACTACTTAGCAAACAGTCTTTATAAATAAAGCAACTTTATAAACTACAGTAGGCTAATACTAAGGGTCATACTACATTACCCATCAAGAGTTGTATATATTCTACAGAACAGTTACTTTGTCATATGAGGTGGCTATGAGTTGAAAATTGACTAAATAGCACCCAACAATAACAATCTTTCTGGAAGAGGGTCACCAGATCTTTCTTCTGCAATACCCCTGGGTGAGGTTCGAACCACCACACTTTGGGTTAGTAGTCAAGGGCAAAAGTTTATACCACCCGGGGACCTTCCTGACACATAGTAGGCTCTTCATAAAAAACAGGTGAGTAAATGAATGCAAGAAGTGACTCCTCCCCCACCCACCCATCCCCGAAAAAAGACTTGGGGATCTAGGTTCTATATTTAGTTCTTTATGACACACTTCTCATTTGTGAAATAAATGGTATAGACTAAATCAATGGTTTGTTTTTTATGTCCTGCTTTTGGGAAAATACATCTATTGATGCATGATTGAGTATATTTATTTCAGGAAAATGTGTGAAAATTCAATGGGAAATTCAATGATTCTGGGGTAACGCCTGAGTACAATGCACAAATGAAATCTGTCCTCTACACCTATCAAGCAAAGCAGTACTTTTGTTAAACCAATAAGCCCACAAGTCACCATTTTCTCTCATGAGAGAGAATAATCCTTCTCTTAGTAGAATGTAATTTTATAATTTTATTGCTTAAAAAAAAAAGGTTAGGTCATGGAAAGCCTTGACATCCACGCCCAGGATGGACAGATAATCTCAGAGAGTGCTCCATGGGCAGATGATTCCTTATTTCATGGTTTATAGGTGACAGAACCAAAAACATGTTTGCAAAAAAGAAACTGGCTTCACTTCATGCCCAAACATACTTTATGTCTCATCACTTACCTAACAAGAAGTATATTATGCAAGTGAATATAATACTTGGTAACGTCCTCATGGGTAGTAAATCAGATAATAGTTTTCCAAAGAAATAAGACGACACTCTGTAGTATCCACTGATATATTCATGTCTAAAGAACAAAACACCATAACAACAAGATACTTGGCATTCATTTAAGGAGGTACAGAGACAACATTTCAAATTATAAGGCATACACGAGAAGATTAGATGCTTCCTGTATAGATTCCTGTTACCAGGAGTGGCGTACTGCCTAAAGCATTTGACTGCTAACCAGAAGTTTGGTGGTTCAAACCCACCAGCCACTCCATGGAAGGAAGACTGAGTGTTCTACTTCCCCAAACATTTACCGCCTCAGAAACCCAAAGGGGGTCACTATGAATCGGAATCAACTCAATAGCAGTGAGTTTTTTTTTTTTTTTTTTGACACCTTCGCAATGCCCTGCATCCCTGTCAGTTTAAGCCTCTCTCTTAGGTGCATGCCTGCCCTGGGACATCATGCCAGGAAGCACTAAGTAGTGACTGCTCTTCTCATTCTAGAACTCCCTCCTAACACCATCTACTCTGCTTCCTAGAATACCTCCACCAGGTGAACAGATTCTGAATATCCTCTCTTTCTTCTGAGAATGCTCTTTCTCCTCTTTGACTCTGCTTGAAGACTAACACTATAAAGTCGCTGATCTTAGTGGTAGAGGCTTCTTTTTATAAGGAACTAAAAAGTGGCACTGCTGTCTTCCCAACACCCTAATGTAGCAGCTTCAGGTCATACTCTTGTTACTTCTCCCACCTGCACATTAAAAAAAAAAGGAAAAGAAAATGAACTTTTTCCTTCAATGATCTTGCCTTCTGAATATATATCCCTGTCAGCTATCGAATTCTATTTTCTCCCATCTGCAACTCTAGCTCCCTAGATCCCTCCCCTTCCTGATTACTTTCTCCTGTAATTCCAAACTCCTTCCATCAATATCTTTACTCTTTTCCTCTCTAATGATTCCTTTGTCAGCATGCACAATATGGGCAAATCTCTTCTTTGAAAATCCCAAGAAACAAAAGCAGACCACCTTTTACCATAAAGCTGCCCTCTGGCTCTTCCCTCTCCTCCTTCCATTGAGAGCTGAAATTCATCTATATTCTTTGTCAACTTTACCTTCCCACCTCCAATTTGCTTCTCACCATTTGCTGTCTACCAACCCCCTCAAACTTTTCCTGCCAGGGTCACTATGATGTGCAATTTGCCAGGAACAAAAGATCAGTTCAGTCCCATTACTGCTTGCATTTTCTGCAGCCTTTGGGTCTGCTGATCACCATCTGATCTTGAACTCTTTTTCCTTGTATACTGTGTCATCCTCTCATGATTTTCCTCTAGCCTCTGGCTGTTTTTCCTCAATTAGCATCAGTAATCTCCACGATCAATCCAGGATGTGACCAATTGGACACACATACACCATTGATGCTTGATAACCCTCTTCCCAGAACAGAAATTTACTTACATAAAAAGCTTTTTCTCTACCACAAAGAGCTCCACAGCTGACACACTGCTGAAACACTGATTGGTCGTCAAGAAGAAGAGTACTCCAGCCCTGAGAGGAGAGAAAGATTAACAAAATCACTGCAGACAATAAAACATTCTTACATCAACATCTCAGCACCAAAACTCTTTCCTTAAATGACAGTTTATAAAGTTCAATTAAAAAAAGCCCAACTACTCTGGCTAAAACAGAGTCCCTTTAGGCCTCTTTCCTCTATGCACTGTATCTCCCCATAGCACATGGGGAGCCCTGGGACTCCATATAGCACATTTTTAAATTCATCATTTTCAATCGCAAAAATACTATCCACCCTTGAATTTGAACTAGCAAAAATGCCAACTGGCATTCCTAATGTGTGAATAGAGTAACAATGAACCAAATAAAGCCCACAAGGTTAAAAACCCTATTAACCACTTTTGTTTTAAGAGGAACTGAGTAAAGAAGAAAATAAAACATTTGTAAGCAAAATGAAAGTGGAAGGAGACTTCAATTAATACCTTATTATCTAACACAATAGCAGCATAGCCTTAATATTATCCTTGACACTGTTAAACAATCAAACAAGTAACTGGTTTCCAAAGTGCTCAAAAGCAAAACAAATTAAGAATTATAAAGAAAAAGTGAATTTGTGCACATGAGAAAAAAAGAAGATATCATTACGGGAGCAGATCACCAGGTCTTTCTCCTACAAAGAGGATGGTGGGTTTGAACTGCCCACCATTCAGTTAGCAGCTAAGTGCTTAACCACTGTGCCACCAGGGTGTCTCTTGAAAAGGAAGATTCTCTATTAACCTACACTTAACAGAAATGTGGACTTTATGAAAGCAGGGCAACATCCCTGAAACAGGAGTTGGTCTCCCTTTGTCTCCAAACAATTTAATTGACATTGAGGTATCGAGATAAAACTGAAATGGAGATAAGTTAGCACATAATTTAACTCACATAAAAATAAGAGAATTTTTTCAAAAAGGAAAACCCAAGCGAACAACACTAACCAACTTTAAAAAAAAAAAAAAAAAAGTCCATAGGCCTGGAGTAATTTTTTTACACCTAAAAAAGAAAGAACTCGAAACCCTAGAAGAGATGGGCAAGTTTCTAGAAATAGAAGATCTACCTAAACTATCCCAGTCAGAGATAGAACACTTGCACAGACCCATAACGAAAGAATAAATTGAGCAGGATGTAAAACTCCCCACAGACAGATTTCCGTAAGATGGAGGGCTAGGCAAACAAACGACACAGACCTCTTCAACAAAGAAAAGAAAAACTAATTCACAGAGATACAGAAGATAATCTTGAAGCCCTGAGTTTTGAAAGAAACTATTCAGAAATGGATTAGGCACCAACTAGTAGAAAAACCTGAAGGAAAATAGTGAGTACAGAGACGGTCAGAGCTGTAGACTGTCAGCTACTCTGACAGTACCAACAGCCTGAATTTTCCAAGTGGTGCTGGGACCTCAGAATTGACCTAAAGATCAGCCCTTGTCACCAAGGGCTGCAGGGATGACTGTGCTGGTGGCCTATGACTAGGAAGGGAAACAGCAAGGTGGAAGAAAACCTGAGCTGTTCACTTTCCGCTGTCCAGAGGGTGCAGTCATTTTGATTGTTTACACACAGCAGCCATTCTGGATATTTAAAGTGACTGAGGGTGCAGCCATTTTGAATGTTTACAAGTGGCAGCCAGTCTGGATATTTAAGTGACCGAGGGCATAGCCATGTTGAATCTTTATGAGTGGGAACCATTTTGGATTTTAAAATGATAGCATTCTCATTCAGATTCCAGAGACCTAAAAATAGGCTCTGTTTGACAAGGTTGGCAGGGACATATGAGAGGCTGACAAAAGGAAAGGAGACAGGGTGTGAGTGTATAAGTGCTGCCCACTAGGAAATAGAGGAGCACAGCACAGTA